AACCGTGCTAATCGGTGACGGTGATGGTGGGGGGGCCAGACTGCGCCGGCCAGCGCGGGGCGAGCGAGCGGGGAATGGGAAGAGGGCGGCCCGGGTTGAGAGAATGAGTTGCTGAACGATTAATCGATTTCAAATCGCAATATCTTGTCAGAAAAATCGCAATTAGATATTTTCCCCAAATCGTTCAGCCCTAAATTTCGATTGAAAGCTTTCGTGACTGCAGGGATTCATCTTCTTGGTTCTTTCGGTAAAGTCACGTAGAATGGAAATTAAATTATTTTTTTTATTATTTTATTCCCATTCTACGTGACTTTACCGAAAGAACCAAGAAGACGTTCAGCCCTAGTTGAGAGGGCAGTGAGCAGGCAGTAATTAGGTCACGCGGTACTCGGCTAACCGCGTCCGTCTGTCCGTCCCGTCCATCTGTCCGTACGTTCGTCCGTCCATCGGCGCAGCTCCTCTTGGGTTCCGCGAAAGGAAATGTCGCTCCCATTCCGGAGGAGTGAAGCGCTCACTGACATTCATGGCAACAGTCGCTGCGTGTTAATCAATGCAGGGCTCTTCAGCTGTGGCACGCCATGCATTTGCAGCGCATCGAGAATTGTTTTATATTTATGTGTGTCTGCACAAAGACAAAGAGTGCCCATAGGGCCTGCACAGGCTGTTCGGGCAAGTGCTGTTGCCGAGGCACTTACGGCATCCAGAATGATGCATGATGGCGGTGTGGCCAGCCACCACGCCCGGCTCATTATGTCTCCTCTCCAGTGTTGATGTGCTATACACCGCGCCTTTTTAAGGCTGAGTCAACCTAGGGGAGCATCAGGGCACAGTTGAGATATTTTCCACTGATGTCATGGTTTAGGAGTCAAACTCAGGTGATCGGGCTCATAGGGGCGGTGCGTTGACTGCTCTGCCACCACTCTGCGCTATTTATTCTCATTCACACTCGCACAGGATGGAATAGCGGTGCAGCGCCCGAGAAACCTGGCTAGCCGAGTTAGATTCCCAGCCACGGCTAGCTTCAGTGGCGAGTGGTCTTTGAACCAGTCCCCGGGTAACAATCCACTGCTAGATGAAGGCCACCGATCCGCACTCACCGGCGAATTCAACTGTGCGTGGTTAACAATCCCCCACGACAAAAATAAAGGGCGTTGGGAGGCCTTCGTCGAGCAGTGGATTAAGCCCCGTTGCATCACATTGCATTTCACACACACGGTAGGCTTCTTAATATCCGATGATTCGTCTCGAAGTGGTTTTGTATCGCCTGGAGGCATGTTCTGGCTCGGAAGTCTCTGTCCAAATAAAGCGCCGTGCCGCTTGGCTTCTTAGTCCTCGTCTTCCTGAGCCGCCAACCACATAACAGAGCCGAGGCGTTTCCACTTTCATATGTCCCGGGCACGGCGTCCCGGGTCTCGTATGTCGATGTCAAGTGCTCTGGTGTCTGATGTTATGGAGTGACAAAGTGTCCCTCCAGGCCGGCATCTTTGTTACGGAACAAACTCGGTTTCCGCTCAAAAGCCGGTTTTGTCATTATTTCATTTTGCAACGCTGAGTACAGGACCAGGGAGGCGAGCCAAAGAGGGTTCACCTTAGCTTCCATTCTCCAACTTCTGCCGGTATTGTTCCCCTGCTGCTCATAATCTGACCAGCGTGGTGAAGTATTGTCAAACAACCCCCACATCCAAGATGATGCGGGAAGGCCTTTATCCAGCAGTGGATTAACAAAGGGGCTATGGTATACATTTGCATTTCATTTCTCAAGAATGCCTTACTTTATTTCCTGATATATCATCTTGGAATGTTTGTATTGTTCTGATCCACCTGTTAGTAAGGATATTGAGGTTTTCCCCTTGCTGAAGTTATTGTTTTCCATTATTCTGAACCATCTGTGTGTGGGGAGGGGGTCGCGCTGGCGAGATGTTAACTACTTTGCCTGGTATACAGGAGGTCGTGGGTTCGATCCCGTCCCTGAAGCCTGCTGCTGTATATTTGGTCGCATGGATTTTTCTCCGGGTCCTTTGGTTTTTCCCTCCACATTTATAAACGTGCGTTTAGATTATTGGGTTGCTTTAGATTTCCACGTTATGATAAGCCACCTTGTTGAGCTATCATTTGTGGCCAGGCCGCTTCTGGAAAAGAGTCACATAGCTCAGTGGGCTTTGCCTGGTAAAATGAAAATAGTAAAAAAATATATTTAGCGAGACATAGTACGGTGCGATGTGTGCCGGTGCTAGGTGGATTATTACATCGCAGAATTGTAAAAGATAGTGGTGGCTTGGAGAGGCCTTCATCCAGCAGTAGATTGAACATGGCTGATGATTATGGTCAGCTTTATAAATACTGTAGCGGCCCACCCACTTTGCATTTAACATCATTGGTTAAATCTCCATCCACATCCCCGATTAGCACGGTTGACGACGTATGGTGTGCAAGAAATTCAACATACGTACTGTCAAAATGTACTTCAAAGATGCACAAAAATCTATCTCCTCTATAGCTGTTGTCTATGCATTTAAATACTCTCCGAGTGCCTCGTGTATGTATAGTCACAATATCCATATCTGTCTTATTAATTAACGGTCCGATCCGTTTGGAGATTGTTGCGATCTCTTTTTTTCTTACGCATTTCAGCGACGGAGATGTAGGGAGGCATAAATGGTCGCAGCGACTAAGCAGAGCTTCTTAATATGTATTGCATCTCAGTGGTATTCACCGTCTCGCACTGGGCGAGTGCCACTTAATGAGGTCTCTAACAATGCCAAAGAAAACTCTCGTGACATTATGCAGCCTTGACGGACGGCGCTATTTACTTCAAAGCTTCCGCTCTCTTTATTATTGCCATTGACCGTACACGGTGAGCCAGTGTATGAATCTTTTATCGTATTAATAATAATCTTTTGCGCAACACCATATGATTTGAGAACATTCCGCAGCGATTGTTCATTTCTACACTTTAAACAGACTTTTTGAGAGCCAAAGCAGTTCATAATTAGCGGTGCCTGCCATTCAATTCTACTTTTAAAGGGTAAAAACGTGGCATATTTGCCAGCGGACAGCAAGTCTGAAGCATCGCTTTTTCTTCCCGTAATCTTTTATCAACCGCGTCTTTGATCCCATTGCGCATAACAAAGCGGACAAATTATATATTTTTTTCCTTGGGACCGATGAAGGGCTGAAACTAACACCAATTATTGCAGTTTGTCAAGGCGTCCTTTTCTGCTAGTTTCATAATGGTTCCCTTTCTTGCATCCCATATGAGATCAAATGATCCGAGTCAATCTTTGAACCCTTTCCCGTTTCGAGACGGCTGCAAGTTGCAGGCTGTGGGGTCCCGTTCACCTCTGAATCTCGGAACGTGCAAGCGGTTAGTGTTAATTTTATTTAGAGAGGCGTAGTAGCACCGTTGTTTTGAAAGATATTGTACTCACCGCAGAGAACTGTAGTGACACGACCGCGCTTCTATGACCGTTAGCCCCAAACTGTGCCACACGTCCTCTCGCGTGGCCTTGTGGCAGCCTCACTACCGGTTGCTTGTTTTTTTTTTCGTTACTTATTTTTTCTTCCGGTTTCTTTTTGAGTATGAACATGTACGTCGTCGGAACAGAATCGTAAAGAAAACTGAACAAAAAACGGGGTTAAGAAGGAGCGGTGGCGCGCGCGTGCATGCCGTGGTGGGCTAGCACCGCAAAGCCAGGCCAAGTGAGCTCCATCCACGTCCAGCGGTCGACCGACGCCATCGGTGGCGAGCGATGTCTTGATCTGGCAACTGGGCCAACCCCGCTCGCCAACTTTGGCCAAGTATGGCCAAACAATCCCCGTGTCTGGCACGGCGTCAGGATGCCTTCATCCAGCAGTCGATTGACGGAGCGAGAAATGAACGAGTAAATAAGCAGTTGGTGTTCTTGTTTATGTTTGCAAACGTATATTTAAATTTTGGAAATTCAATGTTTGCTAAAAGTTTATGTGAGAGAGGCATCTTGTCTTACTAACAAAAGTCTCAGTGGTTTCCCACTCGTTTGAAAGAGTCAACAACGGTGAATCGACAAAGAGAAGATGATGATGATTATATTATATTTAACGACGAGAAATGTTTTCTTCACCACCTGCTTGTAGACAAAATGGTCACAAGAAATATTTATCATGTGTGATGAAGAAGATCCGTTATCCGAATCGTCAGCTTTTATATCTATTTTGTTTCTTTAAGGCCACTGTATTGATGCGATTGTGCAATAATGTGGTCTTCGCAAGCTGCTTTGCTCTTCAGTCCGGTTGAGGCAATATCTCAAGTCTTCCTCTGTGATACCATTCACGTTGATGCTCATTTCTGGCATTGATTCAGTCTCTTAGAGTTGGACAATTTCGATGGGCATGGTGGGGCTTGGGCGGTGAATCATTTACCTTTGCTCTGCAGGGTTTGGTGATGCATTTGTCCATCCTTGCCTTAACAGGGTCTCAATTACTTTTCAATTATCCTGCAAGATTTAGTTTTTCTGAACGACTGTTCACACGCCTTGTTTCCACACGGCTATAATCTGAAATTATAACGTGCAAAGTATTCACTCGCTTTCGGAAGAGACAGAACGGCGCAAGGAACCAGAGACAAGCAGAAAGGCAGCCAATTGGTGAGCCGGCACCAATAATTGCCCAAGCTCTGCGATCCATCAGATATTCAGGTGTTATCATCCATTTAGTGAGTGCGTACATGTGCAGGGAAATCAGAGCACCCGGAAAAAACCCAAGCATATTTCACTCTTCAATTATTGTTTTTTACTGTCCCAAAAGCCATTCCGGCATGTGTTTGTAAACGTGAATACAGCTCAGAATGTTGTGAATCACGCATTTTAAAGCGGTCAAAACCAATCTTTGCTTTTTTGTTGTTGCTTTTAATCATTCATGCATGAGAGAGTTATTTGAAACCGGTCCTTGACTCGAGGTTTTTTTTGGTGACCGAGTTGGTGGCGTTTGCGTAACAGTGACGCCCGCCGTCGTTGTTCCCGCAGGCCACGTGAACTACAGCGTGGTGACGGGCTACCCCATCGAGCAACACTGGACCCTGCGCAGCAATTTGAAGAGAGTGACTCTCAGCACACGCACCCTCTCCCCGGGTAAGCCACTGACCCTCGGTGCGAGTAAAAATCAACATCACGAATATTCTCTGCTGCATTCCCAATAGCGTTCGACGGGTTTGAGTAAATCGTTGGTGTTGAATAATTCCTCGTCAAATATCTATTTTTTTTTTACGACCAGGCCACGCAATGTTCCGACTAAAAATGTGCGTTGTTAAGAACCCTCCACCAACCGACAAAGTCAAATAAATGAATTTGTCAAGTGTTCCAGCATTTAGCGCATTATTATTTTTAGCTCAGAGGTAGGTTTATGAACAATTCTCACAATAAAATGTTCGTTGTAATTTACCCCCATCATAGGAATGTTGAAATTACCACTGCGAGTTTAGGGTTGTAATGAATAGATTGGCACCTTCTCGTGCCCTTCCGAGTGAATACTTTTATTAGCTTTAATAGCACGATATTTTGTAGGAAAGGGGTAAAGATAAAGGTGCAGCCTTGCAATTGCTTGCTCACACCGCTGCTGGCGGAAGGGCCTTGACTGGCGGGATCTCTTGGAGATCCCGTCTACAGCAGATTTTAAACTAAACTTAACTAGAAACTAAACTGTTTTAATTTCACCAGGCTAGTCCCACTGAGCTATACAGCTCTTTTTCAGAAGCAACCTGGCCGCCACAAATGATAGCTCAACAAAGTGGCTTATCAATTCCAAATTTATAGCAACCAAATACTCCTAAATGCATGTTTCTCAAATGCGGCGGGAAAAACCGGAGGACCCGGAGAAAAATCCACACGAACATGGGGAGGGAGAGAGACACGCAAACTCAAAATATACAGGCGTCAGGTTCGGAATCGATCCCACGACCTCCGGCATACCAGGCGAGGAACATAGGGTGAGCTTACTCACAGTTCACCCCACCTGCCAAGCCTTTTGACTGTGGTGTACCCATCTATCTTACTGGGTGGGTAGAGGTGGAGCGATTGCATAAACTTGCCCATTGTGCTAGGGCATGGAGTCGATTCGGTAACCTCTGGACTGCAAGCCCGTTGTGCCACGCGTTACAATCGCTGTGGCAGCATCACTGTGGTAGACATGGTGGGGCTTATTTGGTGTTTGTTTATCGGCAAAAGTTATAAAGTCTCAGGTGGCAGTTAAATATGATTTTATTTATTTTTTTTGTGTGCGTGGTTGCGTGTGCATTGCTCACTGCTGCTCGGAATTAGCATAACTGTGGTGGGAATGCAATGCACAAATCTGCCAGATCATTGAAACGTCTTGCATGGAAACGGATCGGTGCTGTGTTATTACTTGTCAAATCATGGCAATAAATTGACGTGTGCTGAAAATATTTCCTTACGTTTTGCGGTCAAAATAAGCTCTGTGATGCATTTGCATGTGCACTGCATGGGATCAGCTATATTTGGACAGCGCAGATGCAGATTTACTGACAGGTATAATCTGTATCAGATTCTCCCCCCCACCCCGCACCCCCCCCCCCCCCCCCACTCTAAAATTAACCTTTTCCCGTTCCGAGACATCTGCAAGTTTCAGGGATTGTTCCCGTTCACCGTTCAATCTCGAAACGCGCAAGCGGTTAGCCTTAATTTTATTGAGAGAAGCATAGCGCCATTGTTTTTAAAGACATCGTTTCTCACCGCATAGAACCGTAGCGACACGCATTCTATGATAGCTGGCGCCATGCCACATGGCCCTCCCGCATGGCCTTGCTGGAGCCTCGGTACTGATACAGTTATTTAATTTTAGGTTTTGCTTCTGGTTTCGTTTTGAACGTATGCGTACATTATCGGAATGGAATTGGAAGAAAAACTGACGACATACACGTTCGTCATCGGAAAGGGAAAGGGTTAATTGCCCAAACATTCTCAGCAGGGCCTTCCTGAGATAGGCTCTCATCGTCGTCATTAGCCATGGTCAATCCACTGGTGGATGAAGGCTTCCCAAAAACTGTCACCATTTCTCACGTTGCCGCGGCCGATTCATTATAGCACCCTGGATCATAAAGGACTTTGCAGATACAAGGGGATGCTGCCATGGTGTGATGTTTACACACTGGACTTGCAAAACAGAGGTCGCTGGTTAGATGTTCCTGTCGTGGCAGTCAACACAATGGACACTTAGTTTAAATGGCCCCTGCCTCTGTCCATTCAGCGGTATAAATGGGTGCGCGACAAGTTCGTCGATCAGCAGGTCGTGTTTGATGGGGTAAAGTGTGAGTGCTCCCACCACTTCCAAGATATCTGGCCAGCGTGGTGGAGCAGGCCGAACGCCCTCTAGAGAGGCTCTGTACAGCTCCCTTTAGCGAAGGCACTTACACCAACAGTGTGCTGAGTAAGCGGTGGCAGTGCTGCACCTTTACCCGTTTGCAATTACAACTAAAACAATTTACGATGAAGGCCATTCAGCAATTGGGAAAAGTCGCTCGGAAGGTAACCATGGTTGAACTTGCTTTATACTTGGATGAGGCGACACCAGGGCTTGCCAGGCATTGCAGGCATAAGGCGAGTGGATGAAGTGGCCAAGAGATATCAGTGCTAATTTTGAAACCCTCATACTCATGGGTTTTCACTTGATTCTCCTCCAGTTTCCTCCCACATAAATAAAAACGCTCATTAATGTTATTGGCAAAACATCTGAATGCAGAATCTCTCCGGAAAAAAAAGGAGCCTTGGGACTTGGTGAGGTTTTCCTGGTTAAATAATTGGCATTATCACGATCGCAATTATGATAATTACGGAAATAAAATTGTAAAAAAATATACTATTGGTGCATCTTGTCATTTCTGAGAATATTGTGTATTGGAAGGCTCTCTGACCAAAGCAGCCACATCATTATCGCTGCTCAGATTGCCCACTGCCTCAGATGTAGGACCACTCCCAACACGAACCAGAATCTGGACACCGCTCGAATGACAATGGAGCACTCTCAAATGAGGTGTAAAATAAAGCACCGACGGAGACCTCTGCGGTGCAGCATTAAGCAAAGCTCTCCTAGGCCCGTGGTAAAAGTACTGAGGCTTTAAGGCGGTTTCCATCGGTGCCTATTTTTGTTGATGTAATATTAGGATTGCATTTGCTAAGAATATGCACACTCGCGTATGAGTGTGCAATTTCGTCGCTGCAAAAAAAATTCCCGCGTGACAAAATTGTTCATCTATAATAGAGTTTATTTGGAGGGGGTTAGGTTTTTTTTGGGTTAGGTTTTTTCGGGTTAGATCGCGTAAATATGGATGACATTGGTCGCGAAAGCCGACGTGTTAAAATTGTTCTCGGTGCCTGTCACCACCTCAGGTGCCTCGCTGTGAGGTGGAGATTCTTTTCCAAGGATTTGTCGGGCGAAGGCAACATTCGCAATGCTTTTTTTGCCTATTGTAACACGCAGGCCGATGTGATTTGATCACTTCCAACTTGCCGCGAATGTTTCCGTCGTGTTACGGCAAGCACACTGGACCTGTCGTCCAGAGATCGTTGGATCCATCCGTTGAGACAATGGGGCAAACTTGTTGAAATCCCCCCCCCCCCCCGCCGCCCCCTTGCCTCTGTCTGCACAGCAGTACAAATGGGTACAACCACAGCCGATCAGCAGGTGGTCACACGCAGAGGGGTAACATACGGGTTGATCCCACCTCTTCCAAGACGCCTGCCCAGTGTCAAAGAGTAGACCAAAGCACCGCCTGGAGGGGCTCTCTCCAGAAAGAGCTTCCTCAATTTGAGGTTCCGCCAGCAAGCGGCATGAGCGAGCAATTTCAGGGCTGCACCTATACCTAAACCTCCAAGCGTCTCGCTCTGCGACTCCCGCTCAAACACTGCATTTATACCAATGTGGCATCAGCTCATTTCATTAGGGGGGGGGGGGGGGTGCGGTGGGGTGCGAGGGGGAGAAACTGTGCCCAGCGCGACAGGCTGCATTTTAATAGCAAATATGCGTCAAGTAAAGAGGCGTGCCTGGCCACCGCGGCTGCCTCTCCACCAGGGGATTGTATAACACGATCATGCAGCAACTGCTCCTTCCTTTTTTTTTCTTGCCAGAAGTCTTTCCGGGCCCCCTTTTTTCGCGTGGTCATGAAATGGAAATAATTGCAATAAACAAACTGGGAGACAGATTGCGGTTACCATTCAATGACATTCATGCATTCGAGATCTAACGAAGGGACCTCGCCTTAGGGAAAACACAAATAAAAGGTCAGACTAAATCACATGTACGCTCACCCCTTCCGAGACGTCTTGTCAGCATGGCGGCTCAGCGGTGGAGCGAGCGGATCGCGTTCGGGAAGGTTGCATTTTCAAACCCGGTTTGGAGGTTGAATCAGCCCTATCATCCCTCCGGGGTCAATGAAAAGAGTTAGCACTTTGCGAGGAAGTCAACAGCGGGTTGTTCTATGGGGAGACTCATTCCCCCCACTGTAAGGGTATTGGAATTCATATCGCTGGCTCAGGGCTGTAAACAGGAGACGAGAACGGACTCAATGCAGATTTGAGCCGGAAAGTCACTCTTGACGCTTGAATTACCGACGCGCAAATTAAATCGACATAGGCATTTTTGTTTGTATTTCGTGTTTCCATTGCATTTCCCCATGGAGTATATGCCCGCGATTTATATTTCATATAAAGTTCTATACGCACAGTGCATCACAGTCCGTCGATTGGCAGGTGCGGTGCAGTGAAACCTGAGGGATTCCTCTTCCCAGATATCTGGTCAGGGTGAAAGAATAGGCTAACATATATGCTCTAGAAGGGGCCTTTCTAGAGCTCCCTCTAGCGGAGGGCCTTCCTGCCAGCCAGCGATGGCATGAGCAGGAATTTGCAGGTATTGCGCCTTTGCCCTTTTCCTATAAACACAAACGGATTTTCGCTGTTTTGCATCTATTAACTTGTCACGGGTAATTAATCGTGCAAGTTTTATCCACGCGTTCCATCGATTTTGTTTGTTTCCGATGGGAAACGCACCTGCGGGGTAACAAAGCCAGGTGTGTGTATATGTGTGTACCTACATTAACGAGCAGGATACTGGCCAGATGCCACGTTCTGCAAAATCGTGTAATTAATTGGCCGTTTCAAATTTTTTTTGCAATTATTCTGAAGATTGCGGCAACTTCAGACAGCACATGCGGCGAAACCTTGCCTGTAATATTGCACTGTTGCTTCGGCATTGTGCAAGATTTGCCCATGGGTTAGTATGGTGTGAGATCGGTCATGTTTTACTTTTTTTGTTATGAAAGCCTGACTTGTAAATTATTCTGTCCTCGACAGATGGTGCTCACGGCATTCTCTTGTTTTGCTCCTAAAATATGTAGGAGTACACGCTGACCTGTGACCCACTCCATAGTTGTACCTTAGGGCGTCTGTCTCCATGCCGCTGAGAGGTCTTCCTTATCACAGATGTTTGAGAGAGCTCGGACATTGGATTATCTACGTAATCAATTACTCTTTCGATTATCGATCCGATTACCCAACTAATCGAATAACACATGCAAATAGTTGTAAACGAAAAAAATATCACGGCTGTTCTCACGTGTGCCACTGGACGGGAGGTGACAAACAGGGCTTTGTGACGTTATCCGCATCATCAGCCTCATCGTACTGAATGTAGCTTCTAGGGGGGGGGGGGGGGGGGATTCCTGTCTTCAGGAGGCAGGGTGTGGCGTGGGGGGGGGGGCAATATTTTTTAAGAGTGCTGAGTCATCGACCACAAACAAATAGGTGATGACAATGATTAATTTAATTAATTGACGAAACGTCTCGGCCGTAATATTTGAGAGAAGTAGAAATTTGTCTTGATTTGTTTAGGGGCAAAACAACAACACAGCTTATTTTTGGCATAAATTACTCGATTACATGTTACGGTCGATTGAATTGGTAAACATTTCATAAGTTCAAATTCAAGCACTGTTAACTAAGGGATAATTTCAATTAACAATGTTTGGCAGCTGGTCTCTGACATATTTCCCTTGGTTTAACGCAATTAAACGCCTGTGCCTATGTTATCCTGAACTCTGTTTATTATGTTCGAGTTGTCCATTGCTAAAAACCACTGATGGAGATTCATGATTATAACGTACATAGTATTTGTGCCCTCGCTTGCAACTGTTTTCCCCTGGCGCTCATAATTTCATCTTTTTTTTACAATCCCAACTGTTGGCGCTTTTGAAAGAATGGGTATTATTCCAGTGAGCAGATGTATTGCGCTAATGGTGAACATACTTTTTCCTTTTATGACGTGTTTTCTGGGACTTTGCAGAATTCATTTGTTGTCACCATAAGCCAACTAGAACTGTCAAGTGTTCTGGTCTGCGTGCTTTCTAGTTATTCCAAGTGTCAGCGGTGAATTTTTTTTACGACAGAAAATAAGGTTTTGATTTAAAGCTTTCGTGACTGCAGTGATTAATATTCTTGGTTCTTTCGGTAAAGTTACCGAAAGAACCAAGAATAGAAAGTAAGGTTGCCAACTTTTCCACAGCCCCAACCCCAGAAATATGTCTGTCAGCCTAGGTTTATTAGAACTGTGCAGTATACTGGAATAAAGTTTGAACACAATACCACCGTATCTAGGCACGAATCGATTCCTGCGAAAGATGCCATTTCCTGGGCTGTTTGGGTCAAGCCCAGACAGTTGGTGACCCTAGACTGCAGCCTCACGGAGACTTGATTGACACTGAGCCTTTATTTGTGGATTTTTTTGGGGTCTATATAAAGTCAAAGGTCACAGTTCCTCTTTTGCCGAAATCACTGGAATTAATTTCCATTGGTAATCCTTCAACATTTGTGGATATTCTTACTTGAAATGGCAGGGGAGAAGTCTATCCATATAACAACAATGGCTGCGGACTCCCCACCTGGTGTTCTCATCATAACCGACGTATACAACGATACCCAGAAGGAATGATGAGCCGAGCGGAATCCCCCAACGGGGATTTGAACCACTGCTCTAAACGTGTGAGCACGTGTGTGTGTATGTATGTATGCATGTAAAAGCGAGTAACACGTAACAAAAGTCTCAACACATTCGTCAAATAACACTGTGGCCTTAAAAAAGAAACGTATGTGATAGGCAACGAAGCAGATATGCCATGACGAAGGGCCGTTGCCCCTAGTTGTCAGAGAATATATACTTTGTTTGCGAAGGCCAGAGTGTGTTTTTGACGAATGTGCTGAGGTTTGTGCAAGCAAATAAAAACTTCGTGCAAAACGTAGCAATGCATCTAATGTATTGTTTGTTTTCAATTCGTATGTTGAACGTAATTTGTCCACGTGATCCCTGCAGCCAACAGAAGCCGAGGTTTCGCCGCAATGACATAAGAAAGAGAAACTATATTCTTAGTTTTTTCGGTAAAGTCACGTTGAAGAGAAACAACAAAATAATAAAATATATATTGTTTTATATATTTTATTATTTTGTTGTTTCTCTTCAACTAAGAATATGAATTACTGCAGTCACGAAAGCTTTAAATCTAAAGAGAAACTAGTCTGGTTTCTGAGCAAGATTCCGAATGGCGACTGGCAGGAGTGATACATGCGTGTCGATCGAGCCTCGCGCTTATTGCGCTCAAAGATACACACATCGAGTCATGCACATGATAAACAATGCATTTTGATTGCAGGAAATGTATTTGCTAATGGTATATTCTGGCCCAATGCAGCGAACAAAACCCCCTACAAACGGTACGGAAGAATGTGAGGGCCGGACACAAATGAGGCGGTGAATGGAGACAAAAAAAAAGATTGACTCTTGACTCAAAGCGGAAGCCCAAATCATGGCATTATCAAATCGCTGAGGTGGAAAGAGGCTGTGGGGTGTGAGGGTGGGTGGTAGATTGTTCCTTTTCCCTGTACGATCGCCACAATATAGCGACACTACGAAGCAGCGTGCGAAACGCGGTCCACGATAATTGCGCCGTCCATCCTGCAAAATATTTTCGCGCGTTGATATTTTCAAAAAGTCGATGCAGTAAAAGTGCAAAATGCGACGCATTTATGCTCACGCGATCTAACCCAAAAAAAAAACTTTATTGTGAATAATATTGCGTCGCGAAGGCATGCTACGTGTTAAACGGTTGCGAAGTTAGGCGGAAGCGACGCCGCGATGGATTTCCACGTCGTGAAAAAAAATGACCCTTGCATCGTTTGCGACACCAGCTCGCCGGCTAAGACGTCGTTCCCGCACCGCAGGCTTCGTCAAGGCCATCGGAGCCCTGAGTCCCGAGAGCTCGCGGGACGAGTTCCTCGCTCTGGCCGCCGACTTCGGAAGCCGCTTCATGACCGAGGCGCTGTACGGCTCGGAGCGCCACTGCACCATGCGCTTCCCCAGCAAGCGCCTGCAGCGACAGATGTGGATGCAGTACCAGAGGCTCAGCAAAGGTGGGAGCTATCGCGGTTCTCCACCGAGCTTGTCTCTCTCGCGAGTGTCCCGTCCATCCGGGCGTTGTTATTACTTTCATTGTCTTTTGACTCGCCATGGAACGAAGACGGTGACTGCGTCGGGAAAGACAACGAACTAATATCTTCCGATATTAGGAAGCCACTGGGGCTATGCACTTTTACATGTGGATTGAAAACAAATTTCTTTAGAACGGCTTTCTGTGTTTAGTTCGTTGTCTTTCCCCGGGCACCTCCGATTAGCACGGTTGGCTATGTACGGTGCAAAAGAAGTTGAACATATTCTTTGGTTCTTTCGGTAAAGTCACGTAGAATGAGAATAAAATAATAAAATAACACAATAAAATTCTCACGACGTTTCGGCCACAACGCAAGCGGCCGTCTTCAGGTGAAAGGTACAGAACTGTCGGGACGACATTCTACGTGACTTTACCGAAAGAACGAAAGAAGATGAATCCTTGCAGTCACGAAAGCTTTAAATCGAAAGTTGAACATACATACATACATTCATGTCTGTCTGCCAATCTGTTCATATTATTGTTGTTATGGTTCATTTCCTGCTTCAGCAAGCCAGTAAATGATCGGTAGTGCTTTCTTATTCTTTAGTTCTTTCGGTAAAGTCACGCAGATGGAAAAAAAATAAAAAGAAAGTGAATAAAAATAATGAAAAACATTTATTTTTCATTATGTTCCCGAGAGAACATCGGGGGACTTCAGAAGTCCCCCTGGGCTCGTGCGGCGAAACGACGCCGGACGTCGCGCCCAGCAGTGCGTGGTGCGACGCGAACGCGCGTGGGAATGTGCTAAAAGCGCACGCGTACGCTTGCGCGAGTGCAAAAAAAAAAAACATCGGTGAGACGCTGATGGTTTTTTTGTACAAAGGCCGTCGTGCTATTTTTGCACATTCTTGCGTGTCGTTTCAACTAAGAGCAGATAAGAATGAGCGCGTTTCTTGGATCGATTGAGATTGCAAGAACTTGGCAAGAGAGACGATGGCAGAGGATTTCCAAAGCCAGCAACTATGAGGACCAACGATGGTACACCATGCGTAAACAATACCGTATATATGTATTATAACTTGGAAAACGAGATGATGGAAGTTTTGCAAAGTCGAACAATCGTAGGAAGAGCAATGTTACGCCGTACAATTTTAAAACGGACTCTACTCTTTCGTCACTAGCACTGCCTTGCACAGAACAAGTATGTCATAGGGGACGTTCTAGGCAATAGGCCTTCAGCAGAGCACTCTCTCTCTGTGCTGTTCACCATCTTTGCCATTGGCCAGCTCTGCTACGAAGAAAGACCATTGTCCAAAATGTTGCACATTCTATAATTTGACATTGTTAAGGCCACATCATGGTTGGCGAATGTTAGTTTTTTGTTTTGCTATTTGTGCTTATGCACCACTTTCAGTGCAGTACCACCAAATAATTTGCTGTTGCAATTTGATCGTGAACAAAAAGTATGGATGAGAGGAAACAGTCTGACGGGGTGGAAAGAGTCACCGAAAGGGGTGGAGGCAGAGAGAGGCGTGGAGCTCATGAGAACAGAGACCGTGCTAAGTAGCGGCGAAGAATAACAAAGGGAATCAGCTTAACGGCAGTGAAATAGAGACTGGAGTCATTCGGTAAGCACAGGAGGCTAAATCGGCTCTACCGATTCATGTTGAATTTCATCAAGCAGAGTCTGGTCGGAACGAGGAGTTTCACACCAGACGTGACATATATATTCCAGGCTTGGATGATTTTTTCCCAATAAGTAATAACAATTTCCAGCGACATCGGTTGTTTTAATTGTCACACTTTGCTACTGGGCCTGGGGAAGGCTTACACCAAGTCCAAGATCGTCTCGTTTTGATCGGTGCCTATTTGCGTGTATCTGCACTTCTGCGTGTCCTCGTGTTTTGATTATATAATTGTTGTGCAAATTAATTGCATCGTGCTAGTTGTACACTTTGTGGCGAATTATAAGACAGAGTGGCTAATAACTTATTTTTCTTTTAAAGAAGTGATATTTTAATAATAACTTGACATGTTTACAAACATCAAGATTTTAATTAATCACATGTAAAATAACTTCATCTTTGTTGTTTGCAATTACAAACTCCGCATGGAATCCTTATTTTATTTTAAGGCAATGGTGAGCAATGATTTATTCCCCCCCCCCCCCCCAGTATGACCAATCGTGGTCTGAAACACAGAGTTGTGAGGATTGGAAGCGTAATCTCTGCACCACACGAGAAATCCAGCATTTAAAATTACCTGTGCTGCTCATTAACATGATCCTCGTTCTTGCTGCCAAACCCAGCAATGAATAGCCGAGAAAATGTGGGCTGGGGAGAAGTGATGGGGTCTGGATACTACATCACCGATAATTAAATATTAGCACGGTTGGCTATGTATGGTGCGAAATAAGTTCTACATACATACATTATATTCTTGTTCCTTCGGTAAAGTCACGTTGAAGGGAAACAATAAAATAATATATATAAAACAATAAAATTCTCACGACGTTTCGACTGCAACACAAGCAGTCATCATCAGGTGTGAAAACCAACGGCAAGAACATTTGAAAGAAGTGGCGGTTTATATTTATTTATTTATTTTTACAACGTTAGCACCATGGATAGCGATTTGACAAACTGATGATGACTGCTTGTGTTGCAGTCGAAACGTAGTGAGAATTTTATTGTTTTATATATTTTATTGTTTCCCTTCAACGTGACTTTACCGAAAGAACCAAGAATATGAATCACTGCAGTCACGAAAGCTTTCAATCAAAATTTATACATACATTAGTTTAACACGTAGGCTTTTCGCGACCGATATCGATAACAGAGCTTTGTTTGTGCACAAATCTGGCTGTCACCTGATGATGCTGGTTGTTGTAATTACCGGCGAAAAGTCATGCTACTCGAATAGTAAGTGTTGTTGGTTTACTCTCCAACACACCGGTGTGCTGAACTGGTAACGAATTGGCCACGTTTTGTTTACGTGACAAACCTCGCTAATTGGCTGTGTCGGGTTTAACGACACATTTATATTTCTGCCATTGATCCCAAAAACCTCTACTATGTTTGCATACGTTAACACACGGTGATACTTGCTCCTGGGCAAAAACAAGAATGACAAACTTGGACATCGAGTTTATGTTATTTTATTTCTGGTTTTTGTTTGGTTACATTATTCCTCTCCTCACCCCCGCCCCCCACCTTCCGTAGCAAAATAACAAAATTAAACAAGGGGAGGCACAGCCCAGCTGTAGTCACCTTCATTATTACTGCAGGAGTAATAAGCAACAATGGCATTACTACCCACCGATCGAGAGCCCCCCGACTTAATTCGCAAGAGGAGGCTTGATTTGGCACTGGCCTTCATGGTCCAGATTTGTAAAAATTCGAAAATGACACTGAAAATTATTTACTTGGGATTATGCATGGCAGTCATCGCCCAACAGGCATGACTAACACGCCAGGTCAAATAAGACTGTCCTGACTCCCCTTGAGTTACCGTCTGGTTAAATGAACTTGAAACTTCGTCACTTTAACGATGAACGGCAAATGTTACAGCCCAGCTATTTGTGGCTCGCGCCACTGCCTGTGGAAGGGCCACCACTGGAGTGAGCTGTAGAGATTCATACGCTTGCAAGACCTGGGGGGTAAGCCGCACGTTACCCCATCCTCCACGTGTGTGGCCTTGCCGATCGACTGTGGTGGTCAGGGCCGTCCATGGGTTGGGGGGTGTGGGGACCGGGGAAATTCACACAGTGAAGGTCCCCAACGCCTTCAAACTAAACCGAACGTATCACGTCTGACATTGTGATGTCGAATCGCGGGCCCCCTAACCCCCCCCCCCCCCAAAGAGCGGGGCCCGGGGCAGTCGCCCAGATTCACTGTGCACACCACCACAACCAGACGGCTCTGGTGGTGGTGTACCCATGTTGAAGGAACTTGAACCGTTGATTCGACTGCCGCGCCAGGAGATGGAATCGAATGGGTAACCTCTGGGTTGTAAAGTCCACTGTGATTGCAAGTCCATCTCGGCAGAAACCCCCTCCCCCTCCACTACAACAATAATATTTAAAATAACCGTATATCATAACTGTAGATACACATTCGGTACATTTCCACAAGGTGGCGGTGTTTCACCATCTCACCGCAAACAGCCTGCGACTCTTTGGTTTTTATTGCTCCGTTTTTCCACCCCGCTCTCTCTCTCGATTCCTTGTTTTTATTCCGATTGTGTTATTGGCATTTAGCGAGATAAGTTTACAAATGGAACTCCTATCGGCGCATCCACCGTTCTGTGTCAAGAGTACGCCGCCCCCCCCCCCCCCCGCAAGTTTACGTTACAAGATTCCTTCCGAAGTCGCTACAAGAGGCCTCTTTATCCACACTCGAGGCACACATTTTCATATTATATTAAATCAAATTTTAAAAGTCTCAAATTAAGTAAAACAACTTATTTTAAATCGTGGGCTTTGTGTGTGTGTGTGTATGTGTGCTTTCATTGGTGAGACTTGGCGTGAATTAAGACCATAAACTCAGGACACTTGCAGAACCTGTTGCATGGTTTAAGAAAGCCCACGTGTTCAAAATTAAGAGAACCAGGTTATAATGACGGGCGACTGGAACCAACATTTGGGGTGGGTTTGTTCGTGGAATCGTGATTCAGGTGAGAGCCCACAGGCGTTTTGTCTCGCTACAAATTTCAAGCTCTGATGGTACCCACTGGTTTTGCACGCTTTGGATTCTCGTGCGTCTAATGAGCGGCAGTGAACAGGAGGGGGCAGTATTGCACTTTGATTGAAATCCCAAATACCAAGGCCGACCATGAGAGAGAACGTTAATGTTTAACAGTTCATAGCAGCATGTTTTTTTTTTGCATGTATGCATTGTCAATTTAAAGTTACGTATTGTTACTTACGCACATTTGCCATTCAAATTATGGGAGGAAAAACATTTGTCCGCTACATTTTTTGTT